AGGCCATGGTCCTGGTGGCCAGGCTGTGGTCCTGGTGGCCAGGCCGTGGTCCTGGCGGCCAGCTGGTGGCCAGGCCATGGTCCTGGTGGCCAGGCCATGGTTGTGGTGGCCAGGCCGTGGTCCTGGCAGCCGGGCCGTGGTCTTGGTGGCCAGGCTGTGATCCTGGTGGCCAGGCCATGGTCCTGGTGGCCAGGCTGTGATCCTGGTGGCCAGGCCCTGGTCCTGGTGGCCAGGCTGTTATCCTGGTGGCCAGGCTGTGATGCTGGTGGCCAGGCCATGGTCCTGGTGGCCAGGCCGTGGTCCTGGGCAGGTGCTGTATGTGACTGCAGTGCTTCTGGCATGAATAACAAACCATTTCCATAGGTGGGATTGCATCCTGCTTCCAGTTCTGTCAGCAGGAATTACACCATGGGCTGTGCTGTTCCTCGCTGCTGGAGCTCCCTAGCTCAGGTCCAGGTGGAATTCCAAGCTCTGCTCCCTCCCTGGGTGTGTCATGCTTATCCCATGGTCGGTCAGTATTTTTGATTTTACTCCTTTGGGAATTCTGCAGCAAGCAGAGCTCTTTGCCATGAGGAATCTGCATTCCACAATCTCCTGGTTAGTGGGCTAGAAAAGGATTTTTTTTTTTTTCACCGTGGAGTTCCAAAGTCTCTGATTGTTGTGGGCACGAGTCCCAGTGCGTTTCCTTTAGGCCAGGCTGGAGTGTGACTCCTGGTTGCCATCATGTCAGGAAAAAAGCAGAAATGAGGTTGGGAAAAGTCCTAAGCTGAGGGAGCTGCTCCTGGAGAGGTGTTGGTGTTTCTTGGGTGGAATTTCAGGAGAATTGAACAGCCTGGAATGTGCCCCTCAGAGAATTGGGCCTTTCCTCAGCCGTGTGGGAGAGGGTTTGTTTGAGCTACAGTTCTGAACTGCTCTGGGAACTCTGTGGTAGCTGATCCTCTTTTTTCCTTTTGTAAGATGGAACAAAAATAAACAAAAACTATCACGTGTTAACTGTAAAAACCTGGTGGCCAATTCTTCTCGTATCCATCCAGCAAGGGAAGCACCTGTCCTGCCAGACACACCAGGAGTCAATTTTTATACTCTGAAAACAGTGTGCTGGAAAGAACAGCTGATTTTTCATCTTGGGAATATGAAACAGTAACACGAGTTCGCTCTTTAAGCACTGATCATGAAGTTCTTAGTTTGGATTTACTTTCAAATCTCGATTTTAAAGAGTAAAATCTCATTCCTGAGGGTAAGAGATGCAGCAGCTGATGCTGTTCTGCTGGTTGGTTCCAAACAGTTCGTGCTTTCCATGAATTGTAAATATTTGTTGAAACAATTAATGGTTGCAAATTTTGATCTTGGTAAATAAAGTCGCTAAAATATTATCATTCTGCTGGTCCCTATTTATTTTTAATGAAATCAGAGCTGCAGTGGTGGTGACCAGGTGTGAAAACCTGTGTGGGATCGAGTCATACGACAGCCAGGAATAAATAACAGTCAATTTTAGTGGATTAAGTGGCACTTGTACACACCTGCCAGTGCCAAAACTCATGAGTGCAGAACAGCTTTTACCTTCCTGCAGGTTTATTTTTACTTTCTTAGTTTTCAGTAAGCTGAGCCACAGTTAAGGTTCGGTTAATTAAATGGTTAATTAAAACTTTAGCGTGCTCTGCTGGTTTTTACCCGGCAGAGGGAGCATCTGCCCTCCCCAAACCCTGGTCACTGAGTGTATTTACCCTTCTGGTGGCTGGAAAAGCACAGAAATAGGGTGGGAAGAAAGTGTTTCCAGTCGATAACACTTCTATATTCAATTTTCCTTATTAGCGCCGAGGCCGGTACTGTTTCCTCTCCTGTCAGTGCGGATATCAGAGGCAGGAAACAAAAAATACAATGGCAAACATGACTCCTGCAAAGTAAGTGCACATCCTTTGGCTCTTGGATTTATTGTCAGGAGGGAGGGAGCCGCTTTCTCCGAGCTTTTCCAGGCAGGCCAGACCTCCAGGAGGAGCACACGGTGGTTTGCCTCTCTACAAAGCCTGCGTGAGCAGCGTGTGGAGCAGAGCCAGGAGGATGGTGAGTGTGGTGCCCCCGCTGGGGTTCTGAGTCTGGTTGGTCAGCAGGACCTTGGCTTTGATCCATTTTCTGTACTGAGACAGGCGCACGTAGATCCCGGGGTACCTGGGCCGGCCGCAGCCCACCCCGAAGCTGGCGATGCCAACCAGGTAGTACTTGGCACTGCCAGGGTGGTAACACACCAAGGGGCCCCCGCTGTCACCCTGCAAGTGAACACCACAAAAACCAGCAGCGTGTAAGGGTTTCCTTCCAGGAAACACTTCGGGCAGCGAGCAATCTGGTTTTTACATTTATTTAAATATTAACCGGACAGTCACAAGGACAGCAAGGTGTGGGCAGTAGCACCTGGGCAGCTCAGTGTGGGAATGTGCCCCCCCGTTTACCCTTTGTCCCCTTAAAAAGGAAAAAACCCAGAAGTTTCTCTCCTCAATTTGGTTAAAAGACACCTCATAGAACCTTGGGGACTTCACCTCAAACTTAAGGATACCCAGTTGGACAGGAGCCAAAAAGTCCCACCTAAGCAATTTGCTAGAAAAAGAAGAGAACAAAAGAAGTTAATAGTTTTGTGAAGTGTTTTAGCAGGAGCAAGAACCTCTTGCTTTTCTCTGTAAAGAGCTTTTTCATTTTGGCCTTTTATTAAAACTTTTGGTTTCCAACACTGTCACAGGAGACATCCTGCTTCTTTTCTGCCACCTGAGGTAGCTGAGCTATCAAGGGTATAATGCTTATCTCTGAGAGCTTGTGAGGCCAGGCTCAAAAAGAGAAAAAGCATTATTGCTGAAAGGCAGGATCAGCATCCTTGAGGCTGGACAGGCCCTCCAAGACCATCAGGTCTAACCTGACCCTCATCTTGTCACCAGACCAGAGTGCTTCTCACCCACATCCAGCTGTTCCTTGGACACCTCCAGGGTTGGGGACACCAGCACCTCCCTGGGCAGCACCTTCCAGTGCCTGCCCACCCTTTCCATGGAGGAATTCCTCCTGATTCTGGTCAGGACTGCACCGACCACAGCCCCAGACCTGCAGTGCTTCAGTATCTTTTAACTCAGATTCTTGTTTTCTCTCTGCACCTTTTCATGCCTAAACCCAAACCTTCACTCAGATTCTCGTTTTCTCTCTGCACCTTTTCATGCCTAAACCCAAACCTTCACTCAGATTCTCGTTTTCTCTCTGCACCTTTTCATGCCTAAAACTAAACCCTCACTTGGATTCTTGTTTTCTCTGCACCTTTTCATGCCTAAACCTAAACCTTCACTCAGATTCTCGTTTTCTCTCTGCACCTTTTCATGCCTAAACCTTCACTCAGATTCTCATTTTCTCTCTGCACCTTTTCATGCCTAAACCCAAACCTTCACTCAGATTCTCGTTTTCTCTCTGCATCTTTTCATGCCTAAACCTAAACCTTCACTCGAATTCTCGTTTTCTCTGCACCTTTTCATGCCTAAACTAAACCTTCACTCCTCACTTAACTGGGAGGTTCATCTCCATGGTGTGGGAGCTCCGAGTGATGAACACACATCCTGTGCCTTGTGTCACCTGCTCGGGGAAAACTGCGGAGAAGCAGGAAGTGTATCAGACAGAATTTACTGCCACCTTTGTGGCATAAATATGTTGCATCCCTTGCACCTGGCAGGGTGGCACAGTCCCTCTCACCTGGCAGGGTGGCACAGTCCCTCACCTGGCAGGTAGCACAGCCCCTCTCACCTGGCAGGGTGGCACAGTCCCTCACCTGGCAGGTGGCACAGTCCCTCACCTGTCAGGGGGCACAGTCCCTCACCCGGCAGGTATGGCACAGTCCCTCTCACCTGTCAGGGTGGCACAGTCCCTCACCTGGCAGGTAGCACAGCCCCTCTCACCTGGCAGGGTGGCACAGCCCCTCACCTGGCAGGTAGCACAGCCCCTCTCACCTGGCATGGTGGCACAGCCCCTCACCTGTCAGGTCGCACAGCCCCTCACCCGGCAGGTATGGCACAGTCCCTCACCTGTCAGGGTGGCACAGCCCCTCTCACCTGACAGGGTGTCACAGTCCCTCTCACCTGTCAGGGTGGCACAGCCCCTCACCTGTCAGGTGGCACAGCCCCTCACCTGGCAGGGTGGCACAATCCCTCACCTGGCAGGTGTCACAATCTCTCTCACCTGTCAGGTGGCACAGCCCCTCACCTGGCAGGGTGGCACAGCCCCTCTCACCTGTCAGGTGGCACAGTCCCTCACCTGGCAGGGTGGCACAGCCCCTCTCACCTGTCAGGTGGCACAGTCCCTCACCTGGCAGGGTGGCACAGCCTCTCACCTGTCAGGGTGGCACAGCCTCTCACCTGGCAGGGTGTCACAGCCTCTCACCCGGCAGGGTGGCACAGCCCCTCTCACCTGTCAGGTGGCACAGCCCCTCACCTGTCAGGGTGGCACAGCCCCTCACCTGTCAGGTGGCACAGCCCCTCACCTGTCAGGGTGTCACAGCCTCTCACCTGGCAGGGTGGCACAGCCCCTCTCACCTGTCAGGGTGGCACAGTCCCTCACCTGGCAGGGTGGCACAATCCCTCACCTGGCAGGTGTCACAATCTCTCTCACCTGGCAGGGTGGCACAGCCCCTCACCTGTCAGGTGGCACAGCCCCTCACCTGTCAGGGTGGCACAGCCCCTCTCACCTGTCAGGTGGCACAGTCCCTCACCTGGCAGGTGGCACAGTCCTCACCTGGCAGGAGTCGGTGCCCCCGGCCCAGGCGCCGGCGCAGAGCGCTTTGTCGTTCATCAGCCCCGCGTACCCTTCCGAGCTGTTGCAGAGGCTGGGAGGGAGGATTCCCACGTGGGCTTGCTTCAGCACAGATGAGAGTTTACCTTGAGAGGAGACAGAATTTAGAAAGGTGACATATGCTGGGGTTTGTGGCAGTTTTACTGTGTTTTTTTTGGGTTTTTTTGGGGATTTTTTTGGAATTTTTTTGTTTGTTTTGCCAGCCTAGGTGTGTCCCTGGACATGTTTAGACACGCGTGTGACACAGACCCTCCCTGTTGCCAATGGATTGGAATTTGAGTGGCTTAAAAGTTGATGTAGATTTTGCAATTCTTCCTCAGAAGCACCAATAATAATACACATGCCTTGCTCAGAATGGCAGAGGTGACTTATCAACCAGGCTCATACAACCTCAGCTGACCCCAAAACCCCCACATACCAACGGGCATTGAATTTGTGCCCAGTGGGAGTAAAGAGAGAATTGGAGGGGGTGTAGTCGTTCATAAATCCCACGGGAACCCTCGAGTTCACAACATGTGGCATCAGAATTGTTGCTTTTCAATAAAATAGCTTTTTCCAGCAGCCCACGTTGACCTGCACCACGAATCTGAAATCAGCTGAGTTTATTTTCCTTTTTTTCATGTTATACTTGGAAGAAAGGCTGGGAAATCTCTTCCTGTGGTTACAGCTGTGTGGGTCTGACCTGCTTGTGATGGAAAACCCCTGAGAGCAGATCCTCACTGCAGAGTTAAATAACATTGTGAGGAGACCATGGCCTGGGCAAATCCAGTCAGAATCAGAGAATGGTTTGGGCTGGGAGGAACCTTAAAGATCTTCCAGTTCCAACCCCCTGCCATGGGCAGGGACACCTTGTACTGTCAGGTTACTCCAAGCCCTGTCCAACCAATTTATGGGATACTCAGAAGGATCCAGGGCAGCCACAGCTGTGCAATCTGTGCCAAGGCCCTCAGCACCCTCACAGCGAGGAATTTCTTACCAGTATCTACTCTGAACCTGTCTGTGGGAACTCAAAATGTCCCTCAGACAATTTTAGAGGTTCCTGGTCCAGGTCAGAAGCATTTTAGACCCTGGCAGGCAGCTGCAAACAGCTGTGATTTTGGGTTTGAGGCATGGAATGATTTACCAACCTTGCAGGAAGGACAAGAAGTCACAAAAGTTTAGATATTAGAGTAGAAGCAGTCACAAAGTAGAGGGAAGAATTTCTGAGTGCTGTACAGGGGGGTTTTGGTTTTGTACATGGGGGTCAGAGGTTTTAAGATGGATTTGGGATTTGGGCCTGCCCTGTCCTCCCTCTTTCTTCTTCCTTACCTCCCTGTTCTTGGTGATGTTGGCACTCACGGAATGGTTTAGAGTAGAAAATCACCTTTTAATATAGGTAATAGGCATTGGGGAAAAACTGTAACCATGTAACACGTAGTGTACCATATAAAAGATAGAAAAGCACCATTTAATATAGGCAATAGGCATTGGGGAAAAACTCTAACCATGTAACACGTAATGTGCCATATAAAAGATAGAAAAGCACCATTTAATATAGGCAATAGGCATTGGGGAAAAACTCTAACCATGTAACACGTAATGTGCCATATAAAAGATAGAAAAGCACCATTTAATATAGGCAATAGGCATTGGGAAAAACTGTAAACATTTAACACGTAATGTACCATATAAAAGACAGCAGCAGCCCTGGGCGGGGAGAGAAGAAGCAGTCAGGGTCAGAGAGGATGTCAGGGTGTGTGTGTGCCTCTGCCTGAGCTGTGATCAAACCACAGCAGCCCCAGAAGAAAATCTTTCAGATAACTTGCAATAAACTGCCTTGAGACCAGACAGCAGAGACTGCTGAGCCTTTCTTTAAAGCACGGGCTGGAGGAGAGACTTTTCCAGCACACAGAACCACCCCGACCTAGGGTGAGCTCCGGCACCTGCCCTCTTGCAGTTTGGTGCCATTCCCCCTTTGAAAGGTCAGGAAAGGCCCCTAAAATCCGGGTGCCAAGTGAGTTTATGAGCTGGGGGAGCTGCAGAGGGCGAGGGTGGCGACGGGAGGGTTTCAGCAGCCCCGGAGCCCCGTACCCTTCTCGCTGGTGCGTCCCCAGCCGCTGATGGAGCAGTCGGAGCTGTTCTCCAGGGGCGGCAGCAGGGCCGCGGGCGGCAGGCACGCGGGCTGGATGGAGCGGCTGTAGCGCACGGCCGACTTCAGCTCGAAGAGCGCCACGTCGTTCTCAAAGGTCTCCCTCCTGAACTCCGAGTGCACCATGATCCTCCTGATCCTCCTCCTCGCTGTCTGGGGGCCGTGCTTCTGCAGGTTGTGCACGCCCAGCACGGCTCGCCAGGACCACGGGTCCCTACGAGACAGTTCAGGTGGGTTTTAGTTCAGTTTCGCCGTTTGTTTTCATCGTGGAATCCAGGAATGGCTTGGGTTGGGTGGGATTGGATTGCATTGCATTGCATTGCATTGGAGGCAATTTAAAGTTCATCTTTTAAGATGAGAATTCAGGTGGGTTTTAGTTCAGTTTCGCCGTTTGTTTTCATCGTGCAATCCAGGAATGGCTTGGGTTGGGTGGGATTGGATTGCATTGCATTGCATTGCATTGCATTGGAGGCAATTTAAAGTTCATCTTTTAAGATGAGAATTCAGGTGGGTTTTAGTTCAGTTTCACCGTTTGTTTTTATCGTGGAATCCAGGAATGGCTTGGGTTGGGTGGGATTGGAGGCACCTTAAAGCTCATCTTTAAGATACAAATTCAAGTGGGTTTTACACTGCTTTCACCCTTTGTTTTCATGGTGGAATCCAGGATTGGATTGGAGGCACCTTAAATCTCATCTTTTAAGATGAGAATTCAGGTGGGTTTTAAATCAGTTTCACCATTTGTTTTCATGGTGGAATCCAGGAATGGGTTGGAGACACCTTAAAGCTCATCTTTAAGATATGAATTCCAGTGGGTTTTACACTGGTTTCACCGTTTGTTTTCATGATGGAATCCAGGAATGGGTTGGGTTGGAGGCACCCTAAAGCTCATCTTTTAAGATGAGAATTCAGGTAGGTTTGAGATCAGTTTCAGTGTTTGTTTTCATGGTGGAATCCAGGAATGGGTTGGGTTGGAGGCACCTTAAAGCTCATCTCATCCCACCCTGCCCTGAGCAGAGACACCTCCCACTATCCCAGGCTGCTCCAAGCCCTGTCCAGCCTTGCCTTGGACACTTCCAGGGATCCCAACTTCTCTGGGCACCCTATACCAGAGCCTCCCTCACAGGGAGGAATTTCTTCCCTTATCCCATCTATCCCTGTTTTCTGCTTATGCACCTTGAGGAATATACATTGGAAATCCCATAGTTAAATATTTCCTGGAACAAATTTGCCTCCTTACCATTCTGCCCATGTGAACACTCCCTTTGCCTGTTGATGTTAAGGAAAATTCAGATTAAAGATTTAAGGTGACACCCAGATATTCCCTCCCACCCCATCTCAGCAGAGGCCACGAAGAGATAATAATCTGAGAAAGCTGAAAATGTGGTTTTATGTTGGATAAAAGGAGGCTCATCCCCCACAATGCTCATAAAGACTCTACTTGTACCTAGATCTGGGAACTCCATTATCTAGAAGCAAAATAATGACTATCAAATTAATAAATTCAGAAATAGGAGTGGAGTCATTCAGACCTAATTTCTAGTCAAGTATGCTGAAAAAATATTAAGTGAGCTTTGAATTTGGCCTGGGATGAGCTATAAAATTCAAATTAGCCTCCAAAATTAAGGTAGAAATTAAACTGATGATTTAAAGAGGCATTATTTTGCAAATAAATGTCTGCTGAATGCAAACAAGGAGCTGATGTAATAAAGTCCTGATAAAGGACAAAATTCCAAGTTTCAAGGATTTTACTGTTCACTTTCCCCAGGTCGTGGTTAAGTCAACACAGTGGATGTTGACAGATGCAGATTGTGCAACTGTGCTAAAGGCTGGAAAAGAGACCCGTGCTGGGAGCTGAAGTGCTGCAGAGCTGCTGTAAGTGCAGTTCAAAACCTGTTCTGAGCAGTTATTACCACATTGTCAAAGAAAAAAAACAACTTTCAGTGCTGAATTATTGGTTCTGATCAACAAGAAAAAAGGAAATTGTGTTAAAGCTGATGAGCTGGGGAGTCTGGGGGCTCAGGGCGCTCAGCTGTGGTGCCCAGGGTGTTCAGCCATGGTGCCCAGGGGTCAGATGTGGTACCAAGGTGTCAGATGTGGCACCAAGGGGTCAGATGTGGTGCCCAGGGGTCTGATGTGGTGCCCAGGGGTCAGATGTGGTGCCCAGGGGTCAGATGTGGCACCAAGGGGTCAGATGTGGTGCCCAGGGGTCATCTGTGGTACCAAGGGCTCAGCCATGGTGCCCAGGGGGTTCAGCTGTGATGCCCAGGGGTCAGCCATGGTACCAAGTGGTCAGCCATGGTACTAAGGGGTCAGCTGTGGTACCAAGGGATTAGTTAGGGTGCCCAGGGGTAGCTGTGATGCCCGGGGGGTTCAGCTGTGGAACTCAGGGGGTTCAGCCGTGGCACGCAGGGGTCAGACAATGCCCAGGGGTCAGACAGTGCTCAGGGGTCAGCTGAAGCCCAGGGGTCAGCTGGTGCCCAGGAATCAGACAATGCCCAGGGTCAGACAATGCCCAGGGGTCAGACAATACCTAGGGGTCAGACAATACCCAGGGTCAGACAATGCCCAGGGGTCAGCCGGTGCCCAGGGGTCAGCCAGTGCCCAGGGGTCAGCCAGTGCCCAGGGGTCAGACAATACCCAGGGGTCAGACAATGCCCAGGGGTCAGACAGTGCTCAGGGGTCAGACAATGCCCAGGGGTCAGGGATGCCCAGGGGTCAGACAATGCCCAGGGGTCAGACAGTGCTCAGGGGTCAGACAGTGCTCAGGGGTCAGCTGAAGCCCAGGGGTCAGCTGGTGCCCAGGAATCAGACAATGCCCAGGGTCAGACAATGCCCAGGGATCAGACAATGCCCAGGGTCAGACAATGCCCAGGGGTCAGACAATGCCCAGGGTCAGACAGTGCCCAAGGATCAGACAATGCCCAGGGTCAGACAATGCCCAGGGGTCAGGGATGCCCAGGGGTCAGACAATACCCAGGGGTCAGACAATACCCAGGGGTCAGACAATGCCCAGGGTCAGACAGTGCCCAGGGGTCAGACAATGCCCAGGGTCAGACAGTGCCCAAGGATCAGTCAATGCCCAGGGGTCAGACAATGCCCAGGGTCAGACAGTGCCCAGGGGTCAGACAATGCCCAGGGTCAGACAGTGCCCAAGGATCAGACAGTGCCCAGGGTCAGACAATGCCCAGGGTTAGACAGTGCCCAGGGGTCAGACAGTGCCCAGGGGTCAGCCGGCGCCCAGGGGTCAGCCGGCGCCCAGGGCCAGCCCCGTACGTACGTCCGTCTGTCCACGCAGTGGCCGGCGGTCAGCACGGCTCTCGGGCCCAGCAGGACGCCGCCGCAGAGGTGCAGGAAGCGGCCGGCGCCGCGCAGCACCTGCAGGCTCACCACCCAGGGCCACGCGCCCTCCGGGGCCTCGTGGCCCCCCACGATCCAGGACGCCACGCTGCGGCCCAGCTGCGGCTGCTGCCGGCACTCTGCAAAACACGGGGCCTGCTGAGGGACGAGGGCAATGTCAGAGATGGGAGAGATGCGGGGTTTGTTATCGGCTTTTGCAATGAGTGTTGTATGCGTCACGGTAGAAAGTTACGCTGTGTGGGACTCGGATTCAAAGAGAGAAACGGAGAGTTTCTGGCCAGGCAAAAGCCTGGGAAAGAGCTGGGAAAGAATGTAAATAATTCTTTATCTCTCTTGTTTTTCACATTGTTTATAGTTAAATTCTATCACTGTGTGTCAAGCACTTTGCACCAATGCTGTGGCTTGTTTTCACTTCAGAACTCGGTGAATGAATTTGGTCCTCACGAAGCTCTGTATAAGAGCTGTGTATTTTGAATAAACCAGTTTTACTCTCACAGCCTCCTGCTCTGGGTCTCTTCATTCCCACCCTGCCTTGACAGTAACAATGCTGTATTAATTCTCTTAAGTGGTGTGTTAAATATAGTTTTAGGTTACAACATAATGGTAAAATAGAAGCTCTGTGTGAAGGGTTTTCTTTAATACTTGCTTCAAGGAACACCTAAATCTTCCAGAGAAGAGGAATGTATGTTTTTTTAACAGAAGAAGTTAATTTCTTCAGGCCTTGCTCAGACTCGAAGAGCCATGGGGATTAAAGGAAACAGTTGACATACAACAGAGTTCTTGTTTTAAATAAAATGTATGCATAACCATGAAGGATATATGAATATGCAACAGTGTATTGCTTTCAAGGGATGTTTTTCATGACTTAGTGTCCGACAGCATCCAGACGTCCATAATTCTTTGCTTTTTATCGTCTTGTAACTGTCCTAACTCTAAATTTTATTACTCTAATTGTATTACAATTTTTATAACCATTTTATTATTATTAAACTTTCCAAAACCAAGTGATTAGCATTTTTCACAGAGGCCTGGAGGGCAAAGCTCAGCTTTTGGGGCAGCGCTTGTGGGTGCTGTGGGTTTGTGGGTTGGTCTTTTTTTTCCTGTTGTCTCGGGATTTTTGTTCAGTTGGGTGTTTGGGGGTTTTGTGGGTGTTTTTTGTTGCTGCTGGGTTTTTAAAATTTGGTTTGGTTTTGGGTTTTTAAATCTCCAGCATCGCCAGAGCACAGGAAGGACATGGACCTGTTGGAGATGAGGCCACCGAGATGTTTAGAGAGACGGAGCAGCTCTGCTCTGAGGAAAGGCTGGGAGAATTGGGATTGTTCAACCTGGAGGAGAAAAAGCTTCGGACTGACTTAACTGTGGCCTTGCAGTGCCTGAAGGAGCTGCAGGGGAGATGGAGACCGAGCATAGAAATGGGCCTGGAGTGCCAGGGCAAGGGAGAACTGCCAGAGGGCAGGGCTGGACGGGATTTTGGGAAGAAATCCCAGTATAGGGAAGGTGCTGAGGCCCTGGCACAGAGCAGCTGTGGCTGCCCCTGGATCCCTGGCAGTGTCCCAGGCCGGGCTGGACGGGGTTTGCAGCACCGGGACAGGGGAAGGTGACCCTGCCACGGCAGGGGGGCACTGGGTGGGCTGCAAGGTCCCACCTTTCCATCCAAAACCACTCCAGGGATCTCTGCTCTGCAGGACTCGCTCCTCACACATCCCGGGGCTTTTCTCAGCCCAGGTGAAACAGGGCGTGTTTATGCGAGCCAGGTGCACAACCCGCGGTTAACCACGCTGGCTCAGCACCGCTGTGCCGAATTAACCCGATTTCTGTATAAACCGGAGCCTTTGCCGCCCCCCCCGGCTCTGCCCCGCTCCCTCCGCCCCGCCGGGTCCCGGTACCGTCCGCAGGCTCGGCGGGCCGGGGCCCCGCGAGCAGCAGCAGCAGCAGCAGCGGCAGCAGCGCGGGCCGAGCCCGCATGGCCGGCGGGGCGAGGATGCTGCGGGAGCCCCGCGGGCAACGGCCGGTACCGGCAGCGGCTCCGGTACCGGCAGCGGCTCCGGCAGCGGCTCCGGTATCGGAGCCGGTACGGTACCGGCTCCGGTACCGGCTCCGATACCGGCACCAACCCCGGCAGCGGCTCCGGCAGCGGCTCCGGTACCGGCTCCGGTACCGACAGCGGCTCCGGGTACCGGCTCCGATACCGGCACCGACCCCGGCAGCGGCTCCGGTACCGGCACCGGCCCGGCAGCGGCTCCGGTACCGGCTCCGATACCGGCACCGACCCCGGCAGCGGCTCCGGTACCTGCTCTGGTACCGGCCCGGCAGCGGCTCCGGTACCTGCTCCGGTACCGGCACCAACCCGGGCAGCGGCTCCGGTACCGGCACCGACCCCGGCAGCGGCTCCGGTACCGGCACCGACCCCGGCAGCAGCTCCGGTACCGGCACCGACCCCGGCAGCGGCTCCGATACCGGCACCGACCCCGGCAGCGGCTCCGATACCGGCACCGACCCCGGCAGCGGCTCCGGTACCGGCTCCGGTTCCGGCTCTGCCAGCGGGGCTGGGCTGTTGGGGCGGCGGGGACGGCGCGGGAGAGCGGCCGGAGGAGCCGGAGCTGCCCTCAGGGAGCCCTCAGCAGGGTAAAGGGTCGGGGGGCTCAGCTTCACCTGAACAAAGAGTCAGGGGGCTCACCCTCACCTGAGCAGAGGATGAGGAGGTTTGTCCTCACCTGAGCAGAGGGTCAGGGGGCTCAGCTTTGCCTGAACAAAAGGTCAGGGGTCTCACCCTCATGTGGACAAAGGGTCAGGGGTCTCACCCTCATGTGGACAAAGGGTCAGGGGTCTCGCTCTCACCTCAGAGTCAAGGTTTCAGCCCTGAGCCAAGGGTCAGGGGTCTGATGCTCATGTGGGCAAAGGTTCAGGGGTCCCACCCTCACCTGAGCCAAGTGTCAGGAGTCTCACTCCCACTGGAGCAGAGGTTCAGGGGTCCCACCCTCACCTGGACCAAGGGTCAGGGGTCCCACCCTCACCTGAGCTAAGGATCAAGGGTCGCACCCTCACCTGGGCCAAGTTTCAGGGGTCTCACTCCCACTGGAGCAGAGGTTCAGGGGTCCCACCCTCAGCTGAGCAGAGGGCCAGGTTTGGGGGTTCAGGTCCCATCAGGGCAGCCGTGAGGGAGTTTGGGGAGGGGGCAGCAGGTGTGATGGAGCACCTGAAGGATCCCTGCTCCACAGTCAGCCAGGCACAGAGAGCAGTCCCCTTCCATTAATACATTTATTTTCTGCTTCCCAGGCTGGTTTTTGTCTCCTGGGATCCTCCCTGGCTGCGCTGAGCTCTAGCAAGGCAAGGTCAGCAGTGCCAGGGCTTCGGGAAGGAGACAGCCTCAAGGTGTACCGGGGAGGTTTAATTAGGTAAGACAAAGATTTCTTCAGGGAAGGAAAGGCCCGGGCTGGCCAGGTAGGGGTGGAGTGACCACCCCTGGAAGTGTTCAAAAACCGTGGGGACGTGGTTTCGTGGTGAGCACGCTGCTGGTGCCGAGTTACCTGCTGGCCTCTGCTCCAAAAGGGCTTTCCCAGCTTTGTTGGTGGTGTGATTCAGGAAATTGGCCTTCTCACCTATTTGGTTTCTGACTCAAGTCTTTCACTGTGTTGCTGATGGAACCCTGTGCCGTGCAGGGTGCGTGGGTCACCACGAGGAATTTTTGGGAGGGGGGGGGAACACAAAAATTTTGGCAGGACGGGTGTTACTTCACCGCATAGCCCACGATGTGTGGCTCGATGGGCATCCAGGGCATGGGCACGCTGATGTGCTGCACCCTCAGCTCGGAGAACTTGGCCTCTTCCAGATTCTTCCACAGCTCTCTGGTGAGGCAGCAGCCAGCAAAGACGAGTTTCCAAGTTGGGAAGCAGACTTGCTGCCAAAAATACGTCCAGCTGGAAGGCTCGGCGGCCACGTGCTCCAAGAAATAGAAAGCTCCTCCCTGGGAACACAGAGATTTTACAGCGGGCGTGGGGGTCACAGCACTTCCCTTTTCCCTCTCCTTTTCCCCTTCCCTCTGTTAGCTGCAATTAATGAAAGGAGGAAAGGCCCAAAGATTCAAAATGCCCATTCAAAAAGCACAAAGCACCGGCTTGGTTGATCCCTCTTTTTACTCCAGCAATAGTTTGTTGTGGTTTTGTTTCAATTAGTTCCTAACATGACTGGTTTTTTTTCGGAATTAAATGATCTCTAAGGTCCCTCTGAACCCAAACCGTTCCATGGTTCCATGAAAATGCCACTTTAAAGGCTGAAAGTCTGTTTTAAGCTCAAACCAACTCTTTTTCACTTTTTTTTTTTTTTTTTAAATTTTGATTTTGGTCTGGATTTTAAGCTCAAACCAATTCATATCACTTTATTTTCATTTTTGGTCTGGATTTTAAGCTCAAACCAACCCTTTTAAACTTGCTTTTTAAATTTTGATCCGGGTTTTACGCTCACACCAACTCTTTCACTTTATTTTTATTTTTGGTCTGGATTTTAAGCTCAAACCAACTCTTTTCCCCTTGCTTCTTAAATTATGTTTACTTTTGTTTTAGGGCTTTTTTGGTGGATTTTTGATGGTTTTCTGTGGGGTTTTTTTTTTGTTTTTTTGTTGTTTTTCCCCCTTCCCTTGCAGCTGGCACCTCCAGAGCAGGTGTCGGAGCCGCTGGCAGGATTTTTGGCAGCCACTCACCGGCCGCAGCACCCGGAGCACCTCGCCGAGGGTGCCGCTGACGCTGCGCACGGAGCAGAGCACCAGCGTGGAGACCACAGCATCCACCGAGCCGCTGGGCACCTGGCCCAGGTCCTCCCCCGCGGCCACCAGGAACCGCTGGAAGCGCAGGTGCCCGTTCTTCCCCACCTGCCTGCAGAGCCCCTCCTGGAAGCTGGGGCTGATGTCGGTGCAGGTGACCCTGCAGCCCGCTGGGTAGAACTGGAAGTTGGAGCCGCTGCCGGTGCCGATCTCCAGCAGCCGCAGCTCCCCGGAGGGACCCCTGAAGTGGGGCAGGGTGCGGAACAGCTCCTGCTTGTGCTGCTTGAATTTCTTGTCTCGAACTCCAGAAAGCTTTTCTAAGAAGAAAGGGAAGAAGACCTTCCTGCAGAAGGGCTCCCAGATGCCCAGGAAGGAGAGCAGGTAGACAGGCCAGGCGAGCAGCGCCAGGCCAGCGCGGAGCAGGAGCACGCTGGCAGCAGCCTCTGGCATTTTCAGCTCCACGCCGACCAGAACCGCTCCTCCTGCGTGTGGCACAGCTCGGGAGTCTGCTCAGAGCTGCGGTCGTGTCCTCTCCGAGTCCATTCAGCTGCTGGGCTGGCTCTGAGGACGCTTTTCTCCAGCTGATTTCCCAGTCCGCTCACAGGCGAGGTCTGCACAGTGCAGGTCCAGCCAAGCAGCGAGCAGAGCCCAGGGGAGGAGCTGCTGGTTTCTTCCCAAGCCGGGACAAGCTGGGCAGCACAACTCGCTGTGAGCCCGGGCAAAGTTCTGCCAGTGCCCTCCTTCCATTCCGGGTACGCTCGTGTCCCTTAAAGCAACCTCTGCTGCCCTGGGAAGCTCAGCCGGGCTCTGGATCGCTGCAGGAATTTTGTCAGGGGTTTGATTAAGGTTTCAGTTCAAGGAGTTGTTAGGGAGTTGATTTTCCAAGGTTTCAGTTCAAGGAGCTGTTAGGGAGTTGATTTTCCAAGGTTTCAGTTCAAGGAGCTGTTAGGGAGTTGATTTCCCAAGGTTTCAGTTCAAGGAGCTGTTAGGGAGTTGATTTCCCAAGGTTTCAGTTCAAGGAGCTGTTAGGGAGTTGATTTTCCAGCCCCTGGGAGCTGCTGGGTTTGCTCAGCAGCTCTGTGCTTTCTCTGAACAGCAGTTTTAAGCCTTTGCAGTTCGAGGACACCTTAAATCTTTTGGTGGGCGAAAAGGAGCTGCCAGTGATCTCCCAGCCTGATGGGAATCACGGACAGAGATAAAACAATTAATGAATTCATTAGTTCTGCACGCAGCATGTGGACTTTGGGTTTTTATTCGGGTCTAATCAACACTGACCACTCCAGGAACAGATTTTGGAAGAATTTGGCAGCTTTGCAGTCGACAGTTTCCCAAAGGATTTGGTGGCAGCATGGATCAGCCACTGACAGGTGAGAGCTCTGCTCCAGGTGCCAGGAGGATCTGAGGTCCCTGATAACCTGGGGTGTGGTCCCTGATAACCTCGGGGTGTGGTCCCCAATAATCCTGGGATGTGGTCCCTAAAAACCTCGGGGTGTGCTCCCTGATAACCTCGGGGTGTGGTCCCTGATAACCTCGGGATGTGGTCCCCAATAATCCTGGGATGTGGTCCCTAAAAACCTCGGGGTGTGGTCCCAAATAACCTCGGGATGTGCTCCCTGATAACCTCGGGGTGTGGTCCCTGATAACCTCGGAATGTGGTCCCCAATAACCCCGGGATGAGAGGTCCCTAAAAACCTCGGGGTGTGGTCCCTAAAAACCTCGGGGTGTGGTCCCAAATAACCTCGGGATGTGCCCCCTAAAAACCTCGGGGTGTGGTCCCCAATAACCTCGGGATGAGGTCCCCGATAATCTCGGGGTGTGGTCCCCAATAACCTCGGGATGTGCTCCCTAAAAACCTCGGGGTGTGGTCCCCGATAACCTCGGAGCGGTTCTGCTGGGGTGCCTTGGAGTTCTGCTGTCCCGGGAAAGCCACCGGCGTGTCTCCGCCTCCCTCTGGTGGCAATAAAGCCAATTAAAGGCGGCAGTAATTAGGTGCTTCATTAGCGATCCCGGCTGTGTCTTCATGCCTCCACCTCGTGGCAGCTGCAGGAGATGGAACGGGGCGAATCGCAGAATCCTTTGTGGAAGACTCCAGGATGGAGTCCAAGCTGTGATTAGCGAGCCCTGCACGGAACACCGGCGGGAACGGACACCGGGATGAGGAGGAGGGCGGTGCTGGACACGGCGTGACCTTGGTGGACACGGGGGTGAGGATGGTGATGGACACGGGGATGGTGATGATGGACACGGGGATATGATGATGGACACAGGGATAGGATGATGGACACGTGGGCACTGATGATGATGATGGACACGGGGATGGTGATGATGGACACAGGGATAGGATGATGGACACGTGGGCCCTGATAATGATGATGGACACATGGGCCCTGATGATGATGATGGGCACAGGGATATGATGATGCTGATGATGGACACAGGGATGACAATGATGGACACATGGGCCCTGATGATGATGATGGACACATGGGCCCTGATGATGATGATGATGGACACAGGGATGCTGATGATGATGGACACAAGGATGATGACGATGACCACGCCAGCCCTGGTGATGAGGATGGACACAGGGATGGTGATGCTGATGGACACACGGATGATGATGATGGACACGGGGATGCTGATGCTGATGGACACACAGCTGGTGACGATGACCGGGCCGTGCCATTCCCGGGCCATGCCGGGCCGTGCCCGTGTGCCGTGCCCGTGTGCCGTGCCCGTGTGCCGTGCCCGTGTGCCGTGCCGTTTCCGTGCTGTGCCCGGCCGTGCCGTGCCGTGCCGGGCCGTGCCCGTGTGCCGTGCCCGTGTGCCGTGCCGTGCCCGTGTGCCGTGCCGTGCTGTGCCTGTGCCGTGCCGTGCCGTGCCCGTGTGCCGTGCCCGTGTGCCGTGCCCGTGTGCCGTGCCATTTCCGTGCCGTGCCCGGCCGTGCCGGGCCGTGCCCGTGTGCCGTGCCCATGTGCCGGGCCCGTGTGCCGTGCCCGAGTGCCGTGCCCGTGTGCCGTTGCCGTGCCGTGCCGTGCCCGTGTGCCGAGCCGTGCCGTGCCCGTGTGCCGTGCCCGTGCCGTGCCCGTGTGCCGTGCCCGTGTGCCGTGCCGTGCCCGTGTGCCGTGCCCGTGTGCCGTGCCCGTGTGCCGTGCCCGTGTGCCGGGCCCGTGTGCCGGGCCCGTGTGCCGGGCCCGTGTGCCGTGCCCGTGTGCCGTGCCGTGCCCGTGTGCCGTGCCCGTGTGCCGGGCCCGTGTGCCGGGCCGTTTCCGTGCCGTGCCGTGCCCGTGCCCGTGCCGTGCCGTGCCCGTGTGCCGTGCCCGTGTGCCGTGCCCGTGTGCCGTTTCCGTGCCGTTTCCGTGCCGTGCCGTGCCGTGCCGTGCCGTGCCCGGGTTTCCCCGCGCCGCCGCCGCGCCGCCGCCGGCTCAGCAGCGCCCCCCGGCGGGCGCGCGCGGCGCGCGGGGGCCGGGCCGCGGGCGGGGGAGCGCCGGGCGCGCGCCAAGATGGCGACACCCGCAGTCCCTCCCGCAGCTCCCCCCGCGCCGCAGTCCGGCAGCGCCGCGCCGGGGCCGCGCTGAGCCCGCCCGACACGGTGAGTGCAGCCCGCGACCCCCGCCCGCCGCGCCCCTCGCTGCCGGGGACACCCCCCCAAAGCGCCCCGGCGCCGCTGCCCCGGCGGCTCTGCCGCAGAGAGCCCCGCGGGCGCCGGAGCCCCTGACAGCGGGGAGCCCCCAGCCCCAAACCCGCCGCCTGAGGAGGGTCCCGCAGCTTTGCCCCTTCTCGGCCATCCCCTCGGCGGATGCCCGGCCACCCCGCAGCCCGGGAAAAGGGTCGGGTGGGTGCTCACTCGGCGCTGCCCGGCAGCCGCTGCCCCGGCCCGGGAGGGTCCGTCCGCGGCAGCCCGAGACCCCCGGCGGGGACGGTGCCGGGCCCGGCACCAGCGTCCCCCGGCCGGCGAGCTGCCTCTGGCAAGGGGCAACCGCCCCCTGCGCCCACCCTCGACCTGGAGCCCCGTCCTTCCATCCTTCCGTCCGCTCCTGCATCCCTGCCTGCATCCCTGCCTGCATCCCTGCCTGCATCCCTCCCTCCATCCCTGCCTGCATCCCTCCCTCCATCCCTCCCTCCATCCCTGCCTCCATCCCCCCTCCGCCCCGCAGCCCGGGGGGCCGCGGGACCCTCCTGCCAGCCCCCAAATTCGGGGCCGTGCTCTGTGCGCTGTGGGAAGGGAGAGCCCGAGTTCTCCTCGCTGTCCCTTCCCCCTCGGCCCTCGCTGCAGCGCTGCTCTGTCCCTCCGCCGCCGCTGCTCCCACCGCTCGGCTGGCACAGCTTCCCCTGCCCGGGCAGGGGGCATTTTGGAGGGCAGGGGGTTTTTTTTGGAGGGGGCAGAGGGATGCTCGGCGTTCCAGCTGACCCAGATGTTGGGTCAGCATCGTGGTTGTGCCTCTTCCTTCCCTCTTTCCTTCCGCCACAGATTTTTTTTTTTTTCTTTTTGGGGTAGGGGGGTGGATGGCGAGGGCAGATTTGGTTTATATTATTTTTTCCCCTTCCTGCTGGGAAGGGAATTGCACATTCACGAGATTTTTCTATTAAAAAATCTGGGTGTCTTCCTCCCCTCCTCCCGCTGCGCTCTGGTGCAAACCGATGCCCGGCTGCTGTGGGGGTGGGGACACCGGGAGATGCTCCGCGGCTGCAGATGAGCCGGGGTGAAGTGGGAAAGTCGGGCGAGGGGCAGCACCCTCGGGACCCCCGAGCCGTGTTTCGGAGGGGTGCGGGAGCATCACCCGCTCCGCGCCGAGCCGAGCCGTGCCGCAGCGGGAGCCCCCCGAGGGGCCGCGCAGGCTGGGGCGGATTCCGCGGCTCCGGCGGTGCCGGTGCCGGCTGCGAACCGCCTGAACCGAGCCTGGCACACACTGCAGCATTCCAGCCGCACCGGGAGCCGGGGCCGGGACCGGGAGCCGTGACCGGGACGTCCTCTCTGCACACCGGGAGGCTTCAGTTGGGAGCAGCGGGGCTGGGGGGTCCCTGTCCCCCTGCCGCCGCTGCTTTTAGAGGTGGAAAGGGAGGAAAGCGTGATTTCCCCTTTTCCCGACAGTCCTGCTTTGGAGGAATGGGGCCTGGAAATGCTCCTGTTCTCCCGTGATGGAGGTTCTGGGATGCTCTGGGGTCGGCTCCTCCAGCGGGTGGCCCGGGCCAGAAGGTGTGGGCGAGGCTGGGGGGGCCCATGGGGCACCCCCCGTGCCCATTTCTGTCCATCTCTGCCCTCCCGAGCTCTTGAGGGGCGGCCACATGGAGTTGGTGAAGCTGTTTGGGATCTCTGCATAGCCCTGGGGTTGGTGCCTTTAGGAGTAACAAAGCCCTGCCCTCCGCTGGGACCTTTCCCTGCTGGCTCTGTCCCTGCTGGGCTTTCCCACCCTCTGTGTGCTTAGAAAGTCCCTGTTCTCCTCTTTGGTGTTTTATGTAAAACTAACGACGTGACCGAAGGTTTCTTGGGTCATTTTACCGTGTTCGGGTGCTCCTGCAGCGTTGTTCACCCAGGGTGGAGGACCTGGAGCCATCTCAGATCATTTAATCAGTTATATAAGCTTGTATGTATGGCTTAGATGTAGATCATGGTATAGATACCGTGCTGCTCAGTGGAACAAGTATAATCCTGTGGCTGTTGGGTGGGAGGAGGTTTCTAACAGGCAGGAGGGCGAAGGATCACGTGCCTCAGGAAATGGAGCATGGCTGTGCCTTGGTTCTGTTAAATAAAGCAGAAACAAAGTCAGCACTGAATGGGAATGAAGTCTCTTCCCAACATAAATCACAGAATCATCTTCCTCCCGTTTGGGGCCGGGGCTGTGCTTGCTGCTGGGGCTGCCTGAGCGTGATTTCCATTGAAGTGACCTGGTCTGGCTTTCCATCTCGCTGGAGAGCTGCTGGTGTTCAATGGCTGAGTGGTGGCCCCGTGGTCCTGCTGGCCCCGGGGCATCGATCGCCTTCCCCAGCGCCTCCATTGACATCCACGGACGCACCGGGATCAATAATTGATGGCTGAGCTCAGAGAAAGGGCTGGCTTAGAGCAGGGCCAGTGAAACAACAAAATGAGCTGGGAGCAAGCACGGGGGGAGAAGTTTGAGGAGCCGCAGGGAGGAAAGGCTGATGGTTCATGGTGGGGTGGAGAGCTGCTCCCTGTGGGATTTGGCTGGACTCTGGTGGGCTTCAGGAATGCTTGGACTGCTCCTCCTGTGCCTCGTGAGCCTATTTCTGTGCAGAGGTGGAGAATGCAAGTAGGGAAGAAGTGGCTTCCTGCTGCAGGAGCGTGTTACAAAACCTCCCTGACATTAGCTCAGGTTCCAGCCTGGCTTTTGGCACTTCACGTGTTCTTGTGGCTTAGGCAAAACTGTCTCCTTTTCAGGAGGGGTTTCTTCACAGAAAGAGTTGTCAGAGTGTCCAGAGACTGGTGGAGTCCCCATCCCTGGAGGTGTCCAGGGAACGAGTGGACGTGGCACAGAATGCTCTGGGTGACCAGGTGGGGGTCGGTCCCAGGATGGGCTTGAGGGCTTTTCCAACCTCAGGGATTCTGGGATTCTGTCTTGAAATGCTGTTCCAAATTTAGAGCAACTTCTAAATTCCCTCAGCCTCATCCTGTTATTCCCTCCTGATGGAGCACTCCAGAAAACGGGAGATTTTGAGGAGAAAGAGCAGCCAAAGCTGGGGCTTTGCTCCTTCCTGAACAGAGCATTGCAGAATCCAGAGACCTTGCCACCCTCTGAAAGTCCCACTCCATGCTCCTTGTGCTTCTGCCCCAGAAAGTGTGAGGAGTTTATCATGAACTCTGCTGAGAGATGATCTGGGGAGGAATGTTTGTTGCTGCTGAATTGTCCAGGTAGTGGTGTTAAATTACAGGAATAGTTACACAGGTGGTCTTAAAGTTGTGGAAATAAACCCTTTCCTTGCTGGAGAAGGGAGCAGAGGGTTGTGGGGAGGGAGAAAGGGAGGCTCAGGGGGGATTTTCTCCAGGCTGAGCCTCCTCAGTGTGAGATCTCTGTCACCCAGGTGGGAAAACGCCCTGGAAAAGGAGCTTGGATGCAAATGTGGCCGTTCCAGTGGGAGAGGAACTTTCTGAGTGAAATCAAAAACTTTTTGAGTGGCAGGATGGTGGTGTCAAGACAAGCAGGAGTAGCTGACATTAGTGGAGGGAGATGTTTGATCAGATATTGAGGGGGTGATGAGGAGGGAAGAGAAGTGTCACTCCACAGGGAAACCTGGGTTGTGTTCCAGCACAGAGCAGAAATTTTTAACTCAGCACTGGAAAGGGGTTGTTCATTCTCCCCCCTTTCATATTTGTCCCCTTTGTACTCAAACCATCCGAGTGCTCCACAAGAAGCAATTAATTCCCCCAAAATTATAGTGTGAAATAACCATTCCCTGACTCCTGTTTTATGGGTCATGGATGGGCTGAATGAAGTGAACAAGGAATTAAATTTGGGTTAGAGGCTGAACTCTTGCACAAAAGCTATTTTGAACAGTTCTTTGTTCAGGAGATTGAATTGAAAAGGGGGAAGTCGAAGCACTTCAGGTTGTTTAATTTGTGAACCTCCCAAGTTCTGTGTGAGCTGGGAGATAAACCCAAGTCGGCCTTGAGTAAGGACAGAGTAGGGAAGTGGGGATTAATTAATTAACTGGGATTAACTCGTTCTTGTAACTTACTGGGGGTGTTGCTGAAACCACAGAGCTGCTGGGGTGGAGTGAGGACCCTGCAGGCATCAGTCTTTAGTCGGTCTTCATTAAAGTGTTGTTAATTAATAATGTTTCCTGCGTGGCCAAGTCTTCCAAGCCAACTTGGAGCAACCTGGGGTGGCAGAAGTTCCCCTGGCAGGACCAGAATGAGCTTTAAGGTCCCTTCAAACCCAAACCATTCCACCACCCCATGATTCTGACATTTCCCTGTTGCTGTTGTTTCTTTTTCCTCTGTACATTTCTGTTTATTTTTAAAATTTTTACCTTTAGAGATGTGTTTGTCCAAATTTAGGCCGTTTCAAGACCATGAGCACTTCCCTGCCCTGTCCTAAATCTGCCCTTGACCTCTTTTGTTGAGCCAAGCTCAGCAAGAACTTCCACGAAGGGTGGGGAAACACCCAGCACCAAGCAAAAAATGCTGTTGGGAGTGGAAATTTCTCCTTTTTCTTCCACTTTGCAGCATCAAATGTGCCATGAGGGCTTTCCTTGTTCCTTCCTCACACTGGAATCAAGAGGCACGTGTGTCCATGTGGGTTGCATAAAAATTCACACAGAAAGTCCAAAGACACGCTGTGAATGGCTGGCTGGTGGTAATTAATAAAGGAGGAAGTGTATTAAAGCAGGGAAATTGCCCCAAAAGTGTTTTTTAATTTATTTGGATGATCAACTTGAATAATTTATTGGGAATATTTCATAATGTAGCAGCAAATGGACTGCTGGGAGCGTTTAGAGAAAATAATTAAGTTCTTAGCAACTGGGCACCTCGGTGCAGCAGATTCTGGTGGAAAATCTTTGGCATTTGGGGGGTGTGGGTGTTTGTGCACCCAAATCCAAGCTCCCAGGAGGAATTCCTGGCTCCCTGTGGCTGGGAATGTCATTCCCAGTGCAGGTATCCACGGATCCCTCACCCTGTCCCCCTCTTCTGCAGCTCACCTGGATGCTGAGTCTCTGTCCCTGCTGATTTTGGCAGCCTGGCGCTGTTCCCTGTGCACTTTTCCACGGATAAAAATTGGAAAAAAAAAAACAAACACAATTTTCAGAAGGTTCCTCTTGGTACGGGTTGAAAAACTTGATGTGAAAAAGGGATAAAATAAATCCTAGGATATATCCAGCAGGACCATCCCTGGTTGGAAAAGAACATTTCCAAGGTTTTTTAGCTTCCAGAAGCTTTGCCAGGCAGAGCTGTGGAAGCTCCTCCTTGAGGAAGAAGAGCCACACATCTTACTTCATCCACTACCTTAATGGGGGATAATTTATTGGGAAAACAAATGAAGTCAGGACAGGCAAAAACATCCCAAGGAGAGGGACCCTCGGGTTGCTGTAATGTGTTGACAGGACACAAGAAAAAACCCTGTAAGTAATTCCAAAATTCCAAAAAAAGTAATGCCAAAACGTGGAGGAACTGCTGCCACGTGCAGCTGTGAACCAGATTTGGGGAGTGGTGTTGGTTTTGGTTGTGTTTTTTCCTTTAAAGTCAGCTGAGCTGGGGCCTCCAGTTGTGGGTTGTGTAATTTTGCACAAATTCCTCCATGCCTTCATTTTTTTTTTTTTTTTTCCCTTTTTTTTTCTTTTTCCCTTTTCTTTTTTTTTTTTTTTTTCCCTTTTTTATGCTGTGTCCCTGAGCTACTTTGGTTTCTAAATTCAGGCCTTACATATTTATCTGTGCCATTCAATTAGACCACATCCCCAATGCTGCTCTATAGTTTCACAGTATGTGGGAAATTTGGTAATTAAATGCATGCAAATGCTGCAAGAATAGAATAAATTAATTTTCCTTAATATCAGCAGGCCATTTGGTGATTTCTCAGAGATAATGTGACCAAGATCCTGCCTCTTCTCTCCCCTTCTTGCCATCTTTTTGGAGTCTTTACTATTATTACTCCAGAAATACCCAGTCAGGTTTTTTAGGAAGAGAACCCTGGCCCTGCTGTGCTCTGGAATTACATAAGGAGGGAGATCTGTTCTCCAGGTTTTTTTGGATCTCCAAATAAAACCTGAGCTGGAAAGAGCTTTGGAGCCCTCCGTGCCTGCTGCAGCTTCAGGTTGGTGTGAGTACCGGGGGTGTGAAAGGTTGTGTGACAGCCAGGGATAACCTGAGCTCCCTCAGAAGGGGTGTTCCAGCTGTGGAAATGCTCTGGTCAGGGCTGGAATTTCCAGCTGTTGGGTGATTTATTGGGTTTTATTTATTCCCGCTGCACTCCGGAGAGTTGTGGTTCTCAGTTTCGGCTTCCCCGAACTCCTCCCACGTGAATTCAGCACAATCCTCCTGGCCTGGGCAGGCTGGGGCTGCTTGACCTCGTGCTGAATTAGCCGAATTTTTAACAATTCAACCCTGTGCCATCGTTTCCAAGGAATCTGAAAGTCATTCTTTTCTCCAGATCTTTCATGTTTATTTGGATGCCGTCTTTGCGTGTTGCCTTAAAAGCTCTGACCTCCCTGCTTCTCTTTTTCCCTGCTCGAGGGACCTCACCCCAGGCAGCTTTGGGATTCCTCCCGTGCCAAACCCCCTCCCGGTTCCCGTGCCTTTCCTCTGGGCTTTGGTGGTTGGGTCCCTCCCCGAGCAGCGTGGCGGGGCTGGGTTCTCTTCCAGCCTGCAGCACTGCGGTGCTGTTGCATCAGTGCAGGCTTTCTGTCATCCCTCTCTCCTCCCTTGGCCTCTCCTGGAGCGAGAGCAGCAGCTCCGAAAGGCGAGGGATCCCTGGCGAGGCTGGAGCTGGTTCTGGTTCTGGTGCTGGTTCTGGTGCTGGTTCTGGTGCTGGTTCTGGAACTGGTTCTGGTGCTGGTTCTGGTGCTGGAGCTGGTTCTGGTGCTGGTTCTGGAACAGGTTCTGGTGCTGGTTCTGGAACTGGTTCTGGTGCTGGAGCTGGTTCTGGTGCTGGTTCTGGTGCTGGAGCTGGTGCTGGTGCTGGTTCTGGTGCTGGAACTGGTTCTGGTGCTGGTGCTGGAGCTGGTTCTGGTGCTGGTTCTGGAACTGGTTCTGGTGCTGGTGCTGGTTCTGGAACTGGTTCTGGTGCTGGTTCTGGTTCTGGAGCTGGTTCTGGAGCTGGTTCTGGTTCTGGTGCTGGTTCTGGAACTGGTTCTGGTGCTGGTTCTGGTTCTGGTGCTGATTCTGGTGCTGGTGCTGGTTCTGGAGCTGGTTCTGGAGCTGCAGAGCTGGGCTGGTGGGTGCTGCTTTTGGGGGAACCAACTTCCCACAGCTCTGCTTCTCCTCGGAGCGAGGGGCCCTGTGGCCAGCACATTTCTTCCTCTCCCTCTCGGGATTTTTCACAGAGAGAAAAGAAAGAGAGAACAATTCCTATTTCTGCTCCTTGTTTTTCCCATGTGGAATGCCTTGGGAGAATTGTTTACCTGGGGTGAGTGCTTGGTTGGATTCTGGTGAGGATTGTTTGGGCCAATCTGACCCACCTGGGGCTGGACTAGAGAGGGTCACGATTTGTGTTAGAGTCAGAAAAAGCAGTATGCAGTTTTAATATCCTCCTTTTATATAGTATATTGATGTATTTTAGCATAGTTAGAATAAAGAAATAATTGAGCCAGACATTGTCATCTCTTCCCATTGGGTTCACCTGCATTTACCATCCCATGCAGGGATGGGACAAACCCTGCCAGAGCACCTGGAGGCTCTGGAGTTTCTTCTCCCCTGTGCCCTGCAGCTCTGCCTTTGCTTTTGTCCTTTGTGGCATTTCTGATGCCAACAAGACCCCGTGTGTAACCCAAATCATCAGGGAAAATTGAACTTTCAGGGATTACTCTTGTGCTTGATGGACGTGTTTTGAAATTATTTTGGTTTTATGGCCTCGGATTAATAGAAACCCTCATAACTGATAGAATTGTGCAATGGGTTGGGTTGGCAGAGACCTTAAAGCTCATCCTTAAAGCCATGGCAGGGTCACCTTCCCCTGTCCCAGGCTGCTCCAAGCCCTGTCCAGCCTGGCCTGGGGCACTGCCAGGGATCCGGGGGCACCCACAGCTTCTCTGGGCACCTGTGCCAGGGCCTGCCCACCTCCCAGGGAGCATTTGCTTTAAATAAATCTGCAAAATAAAAAGATGGGGTTTGTCTCCCTGTCTCAGAGCAGGTGAGGCAGGTGAGCCTGGCGAGGGCTTGGCCCTGCCAGGAGAACCTCCAGAATTCAACCTCCAGAATTCAACCTCCAGAATTCAACCTCCAGAATTCTCCTTGCGCTCGGTGAAGTCGTGAGGGAACTTCTCACGACTGCAGGGACACCTGACAGGGCAGCAAGGAGCATTTTTTGGGAATGCTCAGCGTGCTCATATTGGTGCTGGTGCTGTTTTAAACCCAGCCCCAAGCTGCTCCTGTGTGCAGCAGGGAATGCTTTGCTCAATCCCTTGTTAGCACAGTGAGGAACCTGCTGGTACCCTGCTCCAACTTGGGCTGGCTTGGAATTTTGTCTAAAAATCAGTTTTGCTGAGTGCAGTGACTGGTCAAGCTGTTTTTGCAGGAAAGTAGTGGCTTTGAGGGCAAAGTTCCTTTACAGAATGTTTTTTTCTCCGTGCCGGGAGCTCGTTTTGGGAATGAAACCAGCAGCTGTGCTCCTCACTCTGATGCCTTCAGTTTTAGCTTTCATGTTTTCCAGGTTCTGTATTGGTGCAGAGCTCTGGATTTCATATAAAGTGTTTTAGCAAGTTCTCCTCAGAGTTCAGTCAGACAAAAAAATCCTTTTCCAGCCTAAAACCAAGGACACCGCTGCAGCCTCAGGCCCAAAAAGTGTCAAAAACAACAAATTGAGGGGAGCAATTTGTGAGGATGGGACTGCATCACCTGATATGTAAATGAACCAAACTTATAATTGTATGAAAAACTCATGACTCAAAGTCCACCTTGGGTGGAGCCCTGGCTTGGCTCTGGTACTGCCCAAGGTGCATCCACCGAGGCAATCCTTTTAATAAATGCAGGAGCCTGATTTAATAAACCCCAGGAGCCTCCCAGGGTATCACCTACAACCTCAGGGCTTGAAAAATATGAATAACAATTTATAATGAAAAAGTTGTGACCATTGTCCATCTTGGGTGGACAACAAGAGCCACGATTGGGCTCTTGTACCGCCCAAGGTGTACTCACTGAGGAGATCCTTTTAATAAACGCAGGAGCCTGGTTTAATAAACCCCAGGAGCATCACCTACAACCTCAGAGCTTCAAAATTTATAATTGTATGAAAAACTCATGATCATCTTGGGTGGACAATGAGCCATGACTGGGCTCTTGTACTGCCCAAGGTGTACTCACTGAGGAGATCCTTTTAATAAACGCAGGAGCCTGGTTAATGAACGCTCAGCCTCCCCGGGCATCGCCGTGGCGGGGCCGTGGTGGGCAGGGCTCCCCGTGCCCGTTCTCACCTGGTGCTCCTCTCTCTCCCCAGCAGAGCTGACCTGCCCGGGCCGCAGCACCTGGAAAGAAGCTGCTGCAGGATGAAAAGATGGCAGCGCGGCTGCTCGCACCACCGGGCCCCGAGAGCTTCAAGCCCTTCACGCCGGAGTCGCTGGCCAACATCGAGAAGCACATCGCTGAGATGAAGAAGAAGCAGCGCTCCAAGCAGGACAGCAGCCACCGCGATGACGACGAGGACAGCAAACCCAAACCCAACAGTGACCTCGAGGCGGGCAAGAATTTGCCTTTTATCTACGGGGACATCCCCAAAGGGCTGGTTGCTGTGCCGCTGGAGGACTTTGACCCTTATTATATGACCCAGAAAGTGAGTCTGCAAAGGAAGGAGTTGCTAAAGAGCTTTTTTTTATTTTTTTTTTTCCCTTTCCCTTTTTTTTTTTTAATTTTTTTGGGTATGGTTTAAAGAGAAGATAAAAAGGAAGGGAGTCTTGGATGGTTTGGTTGTTTTGCTTTCTTGTGTGTTTTTCTGTGAGGTTTAATAATAGAGGTGATCACATCACCTCTATCACCTCAGTCTTTAAGGATGGAGTTAGGAGAACAAGCTCTGGAAACTAAAAATAATCCAAGTTGTGCTCATGTGCCAGTTTTAACCATCAGGGCAATAAGAAGGATTTCACTGAGGGGTAACAGTAAGTGTGTGTTTCATCACTTACCTGGAATTCAGTCTGGAGTTGATGGTTATGATGCACTGGGACGTGGAATCATGGCAGAAAAGGAGACTAATTAACTCGCTTTCATCTTAATTTTAATTTGCCTGGGACCAAGGTGGCAGGAAGCATTTATGGGCGCTGAGGTGTTTGGAGAGATGATGTTGCCGGGGGTGGTTGGCAAACTCAGCTGGGGTGAAGGGGAGGGATCCACCGGTGATGGATTGAGCAGCGTGGTCACTGATTTTCTGAGGAGCCGAGGTTCCGCAGCGTTTAATTTAATTCAATTTAATCTTTGCCACAATCTGCCTGAGCCAGCTGAAGCTGTCACATCTCCACGAGGCTCAGCTGTGCCTCTGGGGGAGCTGCAGATGGAGTGGGTGGGTGACAGGAGCTGGGATGTGGCTCTTGGAGCTCGGAGCTGCCTGCGTGTGAAATCCCGGCCGTGGGTGACCAAGGTTTGCTGGGTTTTTGTTGGGACACACCTTTGTGCCACGCTCAGAGGTGACTGAGACTGCCAGGGCATTGCTCACGTGGAATCAGCTGCATTTGGGGAGGGACGAGTGTACCTGACCCTTCTTCATCATGTTCACACTGATTAATTTAATTGGTTGGTTGTGGCAATTAATTCTTGTGTCCAGAGTGTGCTGAGGGCAGGTCCTGGCTCGGAGCAGGGCTGTGAAATTTGGGAATCTGTGTGTGCCCAGCTGATGTGTTCCTTCAGGAGCTGCTGTGGGAGCAAGGCGGCGTGGTCATCCTCAGCAATGCTTCTCTGTTTATTTATTCTTTATTCATTCAACTTCATTTATTCAAATATTTTCTCTTTATTAAACCAGTCTGGTTCTGGTGATGGAATGGCAGGATTTGGGTCGGGAGGGACCTTAAATCATCCAGTGCCACCCCTGCCAGGGACAGGGACACTTTCCACTAATCCCAGGCTGCTCCAAGCCCTGTCCAGCCTGACCTTGGGCACTTCAGCTTCACAGGAGAACCCCCGAGGTCTCTTGACCCCTTTTACCCCCCAGAGGAGTGTTAGGAGGTGTCTGTGATCCCCCTGGCAGGTTTCTGAAGCCTCTCTCTGTGTCTCTGAGTTGTTGGGGTGCTGTCAGTGGGAGAGCTGGGCTGATTCCTGACTCATGGCTTTTTTTTTGGCTGAAGGGGCAGTGGGCAGAGCTCCGTGGTTCTCCACGTTCCCCCCCGAAGGAGGAGGCACAGGGAACCCCCTTATCCCTCCTGCTGCATCCCTCTCCACGTTTGCCTCCCAACACGAGGCTATTAATAAACCTTTCATTTTTAGAGCGAGGAATGAGCTGCACCCCCCTCTCTGAAGGCATCTGTCACATCTCTGGGAGGGCTCTGTGGAATCCTTGGCAGGCTGAGATGCAGGGAAGGTTCTGGAGATGGGAGCAAACCCCTCCCCAGCCCTGCTGACCTCGAGCAGGGTCTGGCTGTCCCCAGCACCCCTGAACCCTCTGCTCCCTTCCTGTTGTGTCCATCCCAGCACGGCCTTGCCTTTGTGCTCCTCCCAACAGGCAGTGACTTTCCACAGAGAAATTTTTTTTTAAAGCAAATAAAAAAAGGCCCTTCTCTGAATCATCAGGAATTGCGAATCTGCTTGAATCACGGGAAGTTTTCCAAGATTTTTTTGCATCACAGGTCTTTGCTTTTGCAGCGTGCACAGGGGCGAAGCAGCCGGTTCCTTCTCCCTGCAGCAGGACAGGGTGATCTTGGTTTGTCTGAGGAAACTGGAACTGCATTTTAGCAGAGCAGCTGAACCTCCCAGCACCTGCAAACTGATCTTTAAAGGAGAAACAGCGTGAGCTGGAAACAGGAACTGCCACAGGGAGCCACGAGTCCTGGGTTTTAGCCCAGCAATGGTTTTGTCCAATATGCTCTGCTCAGTTTCATTCTGCAATATGAAAATATTGTCACAGAATTCCAGAATCCCAGAATCTTTGAAGCTGGAAAAGACCTCCAGGATCAAGTTGAGCTTGTTCCCAGCTCTGGGCACATTCTAGGCCCTGTCTTGTAGTGAGGGGTAAGTCATGACTGAGGAGAGTCTGGAATCCCTTTGCTCACAGGTTTAGCTCCTTTTGTCTCTATGTAAGGACCAGAAAGAATTTTTTTCATTCTTTGTTTTTAAACTGATCTTTAAAGCATATCTGGGAGCTGCTTCAGCTCCTTTTTGTCTCTGTGTAAGGACCAGAAAGAATTTTTTCATTCTGTGTTTTACAACTTGTGAAGGCCTCCCAGTTCCTAACCTGAACAACAAGGCAGGAGCAATAGTTGCCCATTTTTATTATGGAAACCCAAACAATTTCAATTAATATATCCAAAAGGCAAGTACATGAACTTCCTCGGTCACATGTGCGAACAAAATTCAGGAAAACCAAGATTCAACCCCAGCCATGGGAGCAGAGCATGGCCTTAAATCCTTCAGTGTTTCTTAAGACATCAGGACCATCTTCCTCTCTCATTCCTACACCCTTACCAGGTTTCCATTTTGAATGCTTTTCCATCTTCTCTTTCCTTCTGATCCACTTGTGGCCCAGCCCATTCCTGTGAACACCTCCTCACCCTGTTCTTTCCCTCTGGACGTGATCTTTGCCAGGTTGGGGCCGTTTTTAATTCCCTCAAATTTCCAATTCCCTCGAATTTCATCCCTGCTGCGGAGCGAGGTGAAGCTCCTGCCGAGGCTGCAGCTGTGAGGCAGCAGAAGGTCCCTGGATGTTCTGCGAGCTGAGGCTGTGGATAGGTTGAGGTGGATGGATTTTGGGGGGAAAGGAACAATCCAGGCGCACGCGAGGGTTGAGGCTGGGCTGGGATTCCGAGGTCACCTCCGGCTGCCAGAGAAGCACCTGAGGATCCAGGGGAGTGACTTGCAGCTTTGTGGAGTCACACGCCAGCTTTGGAAACGGGCCCCGTGGGTCCAGAATGTCACCTTGGCCCAGGAGAATCTCCGGGAGGCACGGCTGGCTCGGGAACGTTCCTCGGGAGCGCGGCCGTGCAGGCAGAGGTGGCGACTCTGCAAGGTCACGGCACCATTCCCGGGTCTGCATTTCAGTGAAGTCCCCAACGCAGAGGGAAGAGTCAGAGCCATCCCAAAAATCAGCTTTTTATTCTTATTTCCAGCGTCTCGTTGCCTTTTCCAAGTCTTGAGTGCTTAATGGTGGTTTTTTTTCCTCCCGCTCTGCCTCTCCAGTTGGCTCCAGAGGAGCAGGAAAAGTGGGTGTGGAAGGGAAGGAGTGAAGAGCGGAGGTTGGATTCCCTGGCAGCCGTGTTCTCCATCCTCTCCAGGTGTTGGAGGAAGGCAGAGTGTGCTGGAGCTGCTGCTGAGCGTGGCTCTTGGTGCTGTGGATCCAGGCGTGCAGAGCTGGGATCAGGGAATGCCAAATGTGGAATCTCTGCTCCCATCCCCTAAATAACTGCAGCCCACTCGTGGTTGGGAGAATTATTTCTGCCCAGGAGGCAGAGTGGATTTCTTTGCGCAGAAAACTTCAAAAATCAGGAATTCTCTCCAGCAGCTCCACATCCCCCCGGGGCGGGGGCAGCTCTGCAGGTGGGGTCTCACCTGAGCAGGGCAGAGGGACAGACCCCACTCCCCTGCTGGGAGGAGCTTGGGGGGTCCTGGGGCACCCCAAATCCTTCTCTGCAGAGCTGCTCTCAGGGCTGACTGTGTCTGTAACTCTCCAGCTCACAGAGTGCCCAAAATTGCTGTAAATTCCATTTCCAGCAATGCCTCACTCGGGGTGTCACCAGGATGGCACCACTGTCCCTGCTCCACTGTTGTGCCACTGCTTTGGGGGGTCCTGGGGCACCCCAAATCCTTCTCTGCAGAGCTGCTCTTAGGGCTGATTGTGTCTGTAA